CATTCTGGTAAAATTTTTTTCCAACCCAAAATTTCAATTAACATTTTCCGGAATAATAGGTAATTAGCTATTAGAGATAAGCGAAAAATAAGATGATAAAAAGGAAAGAATATGAAAAAATTTCGGAAATATATTTCAAAAAATGGAAAGTGATCAAGGAATGTCATCGAGAATTCATTCGTCAGGAAGTATGCAAATACGATCGTGTATATTGATGAAGAAATTATATCTACGCTATATATTTTTTTTATCAATTAATTACTTTAAATTATCAGTAATTTAGTTACCTGTTTTTTTTTGCAAAAATTTATCAGTTATTTATCATTTATTTGTTGTATAGATGGTGCTTTATTCTATTGATGATAATATTAATTGAGTGTTTCCGGAATGATAATAAATATGGCCAATTATTCCGGTTCAGTATCTAATATGAATTAAATAGATCAGGACTAACATTAATGTATGCTTATCGTTAAATTGTTGATAATGAAATTGATATTTGTTCATTATCATATATCATTGTGAAATAAATGCTTAACTTAGATTAAATTTCATGTAAATGACGTAAATTTAATGAAATTAAATCAGTAAGAGGAGTAGAAATAGCGCAAAATTAAACAAAAAATAAATTTTTAAAAAAAATAATAAACATGAAATAATGCGAATATTTTTCATGTTTTCCGTTTCCGGAAATTGAACTCAATAAATTTAAACTGCTTATTTTATTTTAATCAAATATGCAAAAAATTAGAATTATCCAAGGAATATGTCGCATTTTTTCGTTGATGACATATTTTAAGCTTGAATACAATGATGGTTGAATATTGGTCATCCAACGACGAGACAATTGATTAAATGTTAAACATTCTTCATTTGTTTTAATTAACCAACTGATTAAACAATCCATTTATTAAATTAATGATAATTTCCTAAAATATAAAAAGTAAGCATTTGAAAATTTTTAAAAATGAGGAAAAAAAATTAATTTTCGATTTAAATTTTAAAATTTAATAATGGAAGACAAACAAAGAAATGAATGAGAAAAAAAAAAGTTTTTTTGAGAGTAAAAGAAAAAAACTACATATCATCAAATTTATTTATTTACTTATCAACTTACTTACTTACTAACTTACTTACTTATTTACTCATTTGCATATTAGTTTAATCGGATCATTTATTGTTTTTTTGTTTTCCATACCTAAATGAATGCTAAAATTGATGTATATATATATTAGTTTCATTAAATTATTTATTGCTTCATTTTAGTATTTCTTTTTTAAACAAATGCTAAAATTCATTTACTTACTTACTTACTTACTTGCTTACTTATATACTCATTTAATTAAACTATTAACTGTTTTTGTTTTTGAAAAAGGAAAAAATGTATATCATTAAACGTATTTATTTATTTGTTTACTTACTTATTAATTTAATTCGACTTCCTTACTTAATTACTTGTACATTCGTTTAATTTTATTATTTTTGTATTCAAAAAAAATACCAATCGTTAAATTTGTTTATTTAATTACTTACTTATTCAAATGTTAGTTTAATTGAATTAATTATTGCTTTTTTTTTGTTTCCGATAAAAATACATTTTGTCAAATTTATTTATTTACTTATTTACTAATTTACATATTAGTTTAATTACGCTATTTATTACTTTTTCTTTTCGATAAAAATACCAATCATCAAATTACTTACTTACATTATTCGTTTAATTGGGGTATTTATTAATTTTTGTTTGCTATACCTAAATGAAAATTAAAATTGATTAATATATTCTTCTTTTACCATCTAATAAAATTTTTCTTCATTTAAAAAAAAAATCCCCACAACAGGAAGAATATGCGGGAAACAACAGGAGAAAAAGGAGAGAAACCATGGAAAGAATATACGAGATTCAACGGATGATTAGAAATCACGGAAAGAATATACGAGATTCAATGGATGATTAGAAATCACGGAAAGAATTACGAGATTCAATGGATGATTAGAAATCACGG